TATATATATATATATATTAGGTGGGAGAACCATAAGTTAACATGCTAGGGTTGTAAGAAATCCAACACATATATGAGAAAATATTACGTTCGACATACGAACATGCAAACGACAGCGTGGATCACACCAAAACGCGTGTCTAACAGTGTGGTGCAATCTATGTCGACATCTACTCATCCAGTTTATCGAACTTATTATTTTTTTTTCCACAAACATATTATTGAAGTGTACTAAGAAAATACACCAGAATTTTTATGTGAAAAAAACTAAAAAGTGAGAAAATGACGGGCCTAGCATGTATAAAATATTCAAGTTTAAATATATAATTATAAAGATACACTATTGTCATGTAATTGGAAATGAAAGATTATGACACTCTATCAAGTACAAGACCGTTTATAATAATACAAAACACTCTAAAAGTATGAAGAAAGTCACCTTATTTTGAGTATGGTGGTTGAAAGTACTCGTCGCTGAAAGTTATCAATGCATCTTTAATACGATAATATTCCCTACTCCATATGTAGGATACCTTGTAACACTGTATTTAACGTACTTCGTTGCACCGTATTCAAGGGTATATGATAACACAACAAATTTTTTTTATCATTGTATTAATTTCAATACATTATTTTTTTAAATTGTATGTATTTCGTGCATTAAACTTTTGCATGGCACGGGGCTAGATTGGGTTAAGCTTATGACAACAAAGACGATTGTTATTACATGAAAAAAGATCGCGGAGTCATGCAGTCATGCATTTTTTTATAAAATAAGAAATGTTTGATATTGATAAAACATTCAATTAGTTGGAATGGACCTTTTTTCAAAATAATTAGATTTTTTTTTCTTAAATCGGACCGGTCTGTTCAACCGTGAATCGGTCATTCAGCCAGTTCGGTCTAAGCTTAGAATGATTTCTACATAGAGCTAGGATTGAATCAGTTTCTAGGGTGTAAAGGAGCTGAACAGGAGCGAGCTCAGACTCAACTCGTGTTCGGCTCGTTAAAATATAAATTTATTCATCTTCAATTCGTTTATTTTTAGGGTTTAGGGTTTATAGTTTGAACACAAAAATTTTGTTCATGCTCGGCTTGTTTTCTTTTTGATTGAATCAAATATGAGTTTCTTAATGAGCCAAAAACAAACTGTTTGCGAACAACGAGTTGTTTGGACAACACTACCGGTTAGAATCGGTCCTAAACCGGCGAATTGCTCTGATTTCTTAAGAACCGATCGGTTCAAATATTGACAAATTTTAGAATTTTGATTTAGATCAGAGGACTAAAAATAAAATACTTAAATTATTGAAATGTATGAGAAAAAATACACTACAATTTTACGTGAAAAAACTAAGTGAGAAAATCATGGAGCCTGGCCTTGATAAAATATTCAACTATAAATATATAATTAGAAAGATAAACTATTTTCATGTAATTGGAAATGAAAGATTACGACGTTCCATCAAGGACAACACTCGTCCGTGTATAATATACAAAACACTTTAGATGCAGAAAGTCACCTTATTCTGAGTACGATGGTTGAAAGTATCGGTTGTTGAAAATTATCAATGCATCTCTAATACGACATTATTCCCTACTATATATGTAGGATACTTTATTTAAAGTATTTCGCTGCATCGTATTCAATGATATATTATTACACAACAAATTTTTTTTATCAATATATTAATTTCAATAGATTATTCTTTTATAATCTATGTATTTCATGCATTAAATTTTTTTAAGGCACAAGATAAGATTGGGCTGATCTGATGACCACAAAGATGATTGTTATTGCATGAAAGATGATCGCCCAGTCATGCAATCATGTATTTTTTTATAAATCAAGAAATGGTTGATATTGATATAACATTGAATTAGTTCGAATGGACCATTTTTTGAAATTAGTCAAACCAATTAGATATTTTTTAAAATCGGACCGGTTGGTTCAACATTGGATTGGTTATTCGGCCAGTTTGGTCCAAAATTAGTATCATTTTTGCATAGAATTAGGATTGAACCAGTTAGTAGGGTGTAAACGAGCCGAACACGAGCGAGCTCGAGCTGAGCTCGTGTTCGGCTCCTAAAAATACCAATGTTCGTGTTCGGCTCTTTTATGTTTCAAACACGAAAAAATTGTTCATGTTCGACACGTTTGCTTGGTAATTGAATCAAACACAAGCTTCTTAATTTCTGTAGAACTAGTAGGTTCAAATAATGTCAAATTTTAGCTTTTTGATTTAGATCAGAGGACTAAAAATAAAATATTTAAATTAAAATAAGAAAAAAATAACATGCCTTAATTTTTTTAATTTAGACTATTTTTCAAAATATTCAAATCTATTATCTTCACTAAAAATATTATTGATTAAGTTAATAAAAATGATATTAATATATCTTTTATCACTTAAATTATACTAAATAATTTTAATATTTATTTTATTATCTGGTCAAACCTTGATTAAACAATGGTTGAACCATTGCGCCTTGAGCATTTCCTTATTCTCGTCCGCTCCTATTGACAGCAATGGATCACTCCAACGAGATTGGCAATGGTGATTGAGCAACTTTAATTAATTGTGGGTACTAAAGTGTAAATTAACCTAAAAAAGGTGACATGCATGTAAAAATTAAAATTTAGATGCTAGATATGTAAATATAAAGAGTTGGGTGGTATGTCTGCAAATATCATTTTCATATATGTCTTGATCCATGTAGATTCTTGGGTGCGATAGATACTCTCCAAAATCAAATGAGAAGTCTTGTAAGAAATCATTCCATGAATCACCTTTCACTAGCAGAGAAATATTCCCCATTGTTGAGTGATTAATCTACTAACCGTTGATTTTTATTAAGATTAAAAAATGGACGGTTGGATGATGATATGTCAAACAATGATGGGCTTCTTATCAGAACTCAGTATAAGTGGATGGCGACAAGCAATACAGCTATGTGGAAGCCATTGAATGATCACGGTTGAAGTAGGAAAAACTAGACATCAGCATTCATTTCTGTGTAATGGAGAGCTCTCATCTGGGGCATATATCATAATATCAATTCCTTTCTTTTAATAATTGCAGAAGGGAAATTTACTCTTCTAGCACACA